CTCTTGGTTCAAGGTCCTGGCTCTCAAGGCTGCAGATTTGCTTAATTAATTGATTGGTGGGGCCAATACATTTACACTTGGAATGGCAAGAGTAGCAAACAACTCTTCTATTACTTGCAGCCTCGTTTAATGCTAAGTTGTACCTGCCTGGATTACAACAAAATATTAAAATTATAAAAAAAAGTTAAAAGAATGGAAATGAAATTAGATGCTGAGAGAAAAAAAAAGTGTACTTACTTGGGAACCCGGACCACATACTCAGTCACTCCCTGGTTGCTGGTCCCCTAGAAAAGAGAAAACAAAGAAACAACATAAGTACAAAGAGGAAGCAGATAAAGTGGCTGGCCAAGCTACCTTAATGCATGTCAAAGAGTGGGGCTGACACATGGGCATTAAAGGCAGAGAGTTTAGCATTGTGAGTATAAACTTATTTAACTAACATATTCTGTCCTGTAGAAAGTAAGCAACATCTTCACTGCATGGAAGCCACAGGCCCTGATGACAAAAATAATATAAAATGTCCAAGGATTAAGGCAAAGTATGTTCTCATCCCAATGGCAAGCCCACCCCCTTATCAATGATTAAGACTGACCTGACTGTAGGTTTTGACAATCTCAAAAATGCATGGGAGGAGAAACGGAGCTGAGCCAAGGAAGGTCTCTGCCCCTCCCCATAGACAATAGGTTTGGATTCATCATGAAATAGTATGTAAAAAGATGAAGCTTGGCATCAAATCAAGGGTCAAAAAAGAAAGGGAGTAATATATACAGCTGTTGAGCTACCTGCCAGGAGATAGATGAGCTAGGTGGGCAAAAAAATTGTTCAGTTTCCCTGAATTGATGCCCTCCAGACGCTTTGGGCAATGATCCCCATCATTTCTCCATAATATGGCCAAGGGCTGAGGATCATCAGCATTGCAGTAAAACATCTGAGGACAATTGGCTGGGGAAGGCTAAACCAGATGAAGTTGCAAGTGGAATTTTGGACAAGTGGCATTCTAATTATGAGTCAGCTATGTGGCTTTACTGTATTCAGAGTTATAACATCCCCCACCCCCCACCCCAGAAAGGGCTTCTCAGAGGTAATGTAGGAAGGAATCAAGATAACCCTAGCATCAAATGCAATTCAGCCAACTCCATATCTGATTGTTGCAAATGAGAACTCACCAAAGAAGTCATTTCTCGATAGCTGAACTGGTGTTCAACCAAGCTTCTGCAACAGCAGGCTCTATAGAAGAAAGAGGATGGCACAGTCAGTTCCATGGAAGCCTGGAAACAAAGTTAGCTGGAGTATCAGAGAAAAGTTTAAAATGCCAGGCGAGCAAAGAGGAGCAAGGGCATGCTTTAGCTGGGACTGCCTCTGTTTGAGAGCCCCTTTAAACAGAGGCTGAGTGCTTTCACACTGAGAAAAGCTCTGAAAAAGCATCAAAAAAGCACAGCGCTTCTAATTTTTTCCTTTATTTTAGGTAACATATCGCAGACGGGCAATGTGCAAAAAGATTCTTGCACTGAAAGGTACCATCTCTTCTTTTTTTTTTTTTTTTTTAATAAGGAACGTACTTCGTAGAAAGCAAATGACTATTTTAAACACGAATCCAATCCAGCTCAGGGACAATCCTAACTCCTTCCTCTCCGTTCTGGCTAAGATCTTCTTTCCTGAGAGGAGCTGAGAACTATGATGCCAAAACCTAACTGGCAACTAGAAGAAGGTGAGCAAGAGGAGCTGGGGAGACCTCCGAGCGCGGACGCCTAAGCCCCTGCTAAGCGGGCTCGATTCGGGAGAGGGAGCGGCTAGAGACAGAAAGCGGGCGCTGGAAGGCCGTCGGAATCCACTCCGGAGGGGAAAAGAGATCCAGGAGCCAGAACGTCTTGATCGACTGGCAAGTTGATGACAGCCGCGGACCGGACCGGCCGGGTCCTTCTCCCCGGCGACTCCCCCGCCCCCCTTCTCCGCGGTTCGCTCGCTCTCACCTAAACAGCGTCAGCCCCGCTCCAGTTCCCTAAACTCGCATGCGCAAACCCTAGCGGCGGCTAAAAAGGAAGTAGATGCTGTGGTTGTTAATAAACTTCCGGCGTCGCGGTTAGCGCGAGTCTCCAGGTGGGGAACGCAGTAGGCGCGCTGAGAGCTACTGTATTCTTGTTGTGTCGTTGGTCTGCGGAGACTCAGCGCTAAAGCGGCTGTCAGCGAGGCCAGCCAAGGGAGGGTCCGGCAAGACTTCCGAGCGCGGAAATGCCAGGGGGCCGGTAGCCTTAGGGCGGGGGGAGAGAACGCCGCCTCTCCCGCCCTCTGCAGAGGAAACGAGCCGGGTAATGCGCGTCGGTCCCTGCAAAGGCGGGGTCGCCCCGCTTGCGGAAGGGCGCTGGGGTTCGCCGTAAGGCTCAGGTTTCCCCAGGTGAAGCCCGAGCCTGTTGCGTGGAGCGCTGGGACTCGATGCTGTAGTCGGCGCTGCGGTTCCCAGCCTGATTTGGGGGCAGACGCTGCGTTGTTGTCGTGTGTTTGGTTTAAGCCAGAAGGGCAGAACATTCACCCCGTTGACTTTCCTGGACTTTCCTTGGTGCTCTCTGAGCTTGGCGGTTTGCTTGCAGACGTTTCATTATCCGACTAGGTAACATCATCAGTGCATCTGCAACGCTGAGCTATACATTCAACCCTGAGATATATATTATTTTCTGTTGTTTCCTGCACCCCTCAGTCATACTCCAGCTTTCTGGATACTCGGCCAGGACAGAGCAGAGAAAATGGTTCTGGCCCAGCTGGGAAGTAGTGCCCAGAAAGACTTCAGCCTGCAAAGCGCTTCCTGAGAACTGGCGGCTCAGGAAAGGCCAGCTCCAATTAAAGAAAAGGTGGGAAATGGCAGAGCCTTCTCTCTGGAAGGGGCCTTGGTCGGGAATGCCTACACGTTCCCAGGCAGGAGCCGGAGGTGCTGCGCAAAAGGAGCCTTGCCTGGAAGCCCTTTGCCTCCTCCGATTCTGGGCTGGTTAAATTGCAAGGAAGAGCCTCCAGATCCACTCTACTTTAAACGCACGGGCACTGCCGTCTCAGTCTTAACCCACATCCCTTGATTTACCAAGGTGAGTTTGCTGCAAGATGCCCCCTAGGAAATGATCGAATTTTGCTTGAATGTTCTTGGGGTGTGATGGAATCACTATCAATGAAGTTCGGTGTGAAAGTGTAAACATAAGGGCCGGAGTCAAATAAATGCCGGGTGAGTCTTCACAGCCTCCTAAAAAAACGTTTATGTCAGATTGATATTAAGCATCCTCCCCAGGAATGCAGTCTGAGTTTAAGGGGCTTTTTGGGAAGATGCCTTCAAATCAGCGTTGACTCCTAGCGGCTGCCTGGACTAGTCCCTGCAGTTTCCAGTGGTGTGCCCTTTCCTTCCTCCTAGGACTGAGAGCGAGTGGCTCAAGGTCACCCAGCTTGGCTTTGTACTGAAAGCAGCACTAGAACTTACGATCTCTCGGCTTCTAGCCTGGTGTAAGAGTAAGGCTCTTACTCTTAAGTAAACAGATACATACAACTTGGTGGAGGGAACTCAATCCTTCCTTCCAACACGGTGTTTGTTTTAGCGTGATGCTTTCTTTGTAACGTATTCTGGCTAACAAAGCCTAATCGGGGTTTTATGCAACGGTTTTCAAATTAACAACACAACTATGTACCGTTCGCTGTAGAGAACGAGAACCCGCAGGTCTGCCCCTTCCACGTAAACGCTCCTCCTGCTTTCTACGTGCTTCCACTCTGCTCTCGTTCCGTGAAGGCTTCTAGCCTGAACCTGAAGTGGCAGCTGCGTGGCTTAGAACTTCCCGAGTTAAAAGGAAAATCTCTTTGGCGGCTGTCGCAGTATGAGCGGAAGCGCCGGTTCCTCTCGGCGGAAGTTGCGGGGCGGGCCTTGTGAGCTGCCTGAGTTAGCGTGTTCCGGTCGCCTTATTTGGCAAGCCGGGGAGGAGCGGTATGGGGAAGAAGGAAATAATTTATTGTTTTTAAAATATGGCGTTGTGACTTCGTGTCATGCTTTGCCTTAGGAGCCCATGCTACACTGAGTGATCAAGATAGCAGCGGGAGAGTAACTCCCTTTCATAGAAGAATGGAAGTGAATAGACCCCACTGAGTCTAATCCCCCACTCGGTGATCCAAACTGAAACAAGTTTTTCTAGTTTAGGGTTTATCCTGTCAGAGGAAGGCATGGAATATACGTTTTAATCCATGTTTAGAGTTTACCCAACTCTTTCTTTGCACAACCACCATATTAAACTAAGCCAGGCTAGGGGAGAGCTGATCGAATCGGTTGATCAGTTTTGTAGCTAGTAGACATTTGAACTCGGGGCTCACTTTTTAACTATTACACCATGCTGGCTTCTAGATGTATTTCCCAACCAGTTACAGATACATACAAAGCAGTTCAGATACATAATGAACTGCTTTGTATATATCTAACTGGTTGGGAGAGTCACCCAGATAATTTTTGTCACAACGGGTGAAAGCCTGTTTCTTAACTCAATATGTTGTTTTTATAGGAATATAAAATACGGACACCAAGTTACACACTGTCAATACATACTACTGGCAGGATATTAATATAAACAAAACCAATTTTACGAGGATGAAATATATTTCATATTCAGAGAAACCTGGGGAAAAATTTGCTCAGATTGCTTAAGTCTTCTTAGCCCCTCTACTGAAAAATAACTAATGCAGATGTTGACAAAAACCATGCCAGTAACCCACTGCTGCACATCAGAGGTAGATTTGTCCTCAACATTATTTTGACTACATACCCTTGCACAAAGTGTTCATATTTATTGATGCCTTGATAAGTTCTAAATGCTGGAGATAAAGCTAAGAACAGCATATACAACTTTGACAAGCACCCTTCTCTTTAAAGTCATGTTGACAATTCCATGAATTTCTGACCAGAATATGTCAATAACAGGAAAAGCCTGAATCATATGAACTAGTGTTCTGAATTGCTTCTCTAAAGCAAAGGGACCATAACATGCTAATTAAACATGCTCTAGACTGTTCAGTAAAACAAAATGTTATTGCTCTATTATATTTTAAAATCAAAATAAATTTCAGTTTTAAAATACCCCTCGTTGGTTTGCAAGGACAGGACATTCATGCTTATTATTTCATAGGTCACAAAAGTATTTAAAATCAATGTTTTCCCTTCTTTCAATCACTGGTAAAGGGAATTTACTCCTTCGGAACCTTAATAGTTCTAAAATATTCAATAAATACAAAGTGTCAGGGCCAACAGATGAATTTCCAAGTAGCAAATGCTTAGGTTGAATCAATGGCCAAGAAGCATTCTGAGGTAAACCAAACTTCGTTTTGAGGTTCAGAAATTGAACAGAGCTTAGCTGACTCAATGATGAAAAGCCCATTTGCTTGGAAAAGGGATGCATTAGCTAATCAAAGATTTCCCATAAATGCAAATCTTCTGTGAGTGTTACACTCTATAGGCTTTCTAAGAAGTGGTCTAGTGTATATTTTGCTCTGAGGACTCCAGTTCGCCTAGTTTACTTCTCTCATATAATTGAGTGTGTGGCTCCCTGGTTAAAACCACATCGCCAACTACTGGGCCAAAATTTCTGCACACAGTTCAAAGTAGTGTTATGACCTTAAAACAGCTTAAGACCAGTCTGTTTGAAAAACCACATTCTGCCGTATTAGCCTAGATTTTAAAATTCTCAGGAGACCCCTTCTCTCTGTCCTGATGTTGTGGGCACGTCAGCAGTAACACCAGGCCCTTTTCTCCTCTCCTGCTTAGTTCTAGAACTCCTTGCCAAGGGTGGTGCATCTAGATCTGTCTTCATTGACTTCTGCTAGCAGTGATTTGGTTTTATTAATTTTACAGGGAAAGCATCCACTATGAAGGGTTTCCTGTGTAGCTCTGAACAAGAATGGGAGTTACTCACTGTGTGTATCTACCAAGAAAAAGGTTTCATACTGACGGACTGCTGATGACCAGTAGGAATTGCTTGTCTTCTTTGAGACCGTTTTGTTCCAGAGTAATTTGTGCATGTTCAGGTAATCCAAATTTTCAGTATATCTATTTGATTACGTGAACTGGTTCTCATAGAAGAACCGGTGCAGGAAGGAAGGATAGAAATCAAAGCAGTCTGAAGAAAGAGGAACTAAACCCTGCAGGTACAAGGCAGCTGAAGGAGGCCAAGGATTTTGTTGCTCCTGCAGGATATCAATCCATTATTCGCCCCTCAGTAAGTGGGGTTTCGAAAGAGTAGCAAGCATCTCAGTCTACCTTGGCATCCTTTGCTTCTTGAAAGAGAATTAAGCTGAGGAGAGAGGCGCTTCTTTGTGAACACAGTTTAGACTAGTTGGACATTTTCTTCAGTACCAGATTGAACTATTAGTCCTGCCATGAAGAAATAGTTTCTCAGTTTTGAGTCTCTAAATCCTTCCATTCTCTGTTGATACTAGTAAGAACACAACTGCTGACTTACCACAAAAGTAATTTGCCCCTTCCAGCTTTGCTTGCTCCAGGTTAGATAAGCCGTGACATCAGATGTCTGTGACATCAGAAAGGGAACCCAGGGGAGTCACATGTCAGCTAAAATGGCCAAATTAGTTTTGTATATCAGTTTGAAGTCTGCAGGACCAGTGCCTGGAGATCCCTGGGATGAGCCTTCAGAATGGGGATTTGCCAGGGCAGTCTTCCAAAATCCACCAAGCCCTTGAAGAGTGAACTAAAAGGTACTCATTCTTCCTGTTCTGCCTATGCTGTAATATTTCAGTTTGGTCTAGTGGTTAAGGCACCAGGCTAGAAACCAGGAGACTATGAGTTCCAGTTCTGCCTTAGGCATGAAAGCCTGCTGGATGACTTTGGGCCAGTCACTCTCTGTCAGCCCAACTCACCTCACAGGGTGGTTGTGGTGGGGAAAGTAGGAGGAAGAAGGGGTATTAAGTATTGTACGTTCACCGCCTTGAGTTATTTGTAAAAATAATAAAGGTGGGATAAATAATTAAAAAAACCTTTCCCCAACACCCAATCCATGAGGAATTTCTGTAAGCTTCAGCAGAATAAATATGCAAGTTCTGGTTCATCCAATAGGGTTTGATGAAGAGCTTTCCAGGGAATCATGCACTATATGGGTGAAGCTGATCTGTGTCCCATTTTGCTTTTCTTAAGGGGACTTCTGTCTGTCACTTGATGCCTGCTGCCTCTCTGGCATTGGTTCTTTAGCAGACTTCACATTTACACGCTCTTGTTCACAAACCAAAGTAATTGTCCTTGTGTAGTTTCTGTTTCAAAAGAAAATAGTATGGTGGAGTGTGGAGTGTGCCCCTGAATACTTAGGGAGAGAACTGGATTTGGATTTCTCCAGTCAAAGGCCTCCAGATTTGTTAGACAAGAATTCTCATCATTTCCAGCCATTATCATAATGGCTGACTTGAAATAGCTCTGTTCCATCTACCTAATGGCAGGTGAACAAAGACCTACTTAATCAGGCAGAGAAAAGAAGATAAAAGCCTGTAAACTAACAGCAGCCAGTTGCTGCCTTCACGGAAGCTTTTAGGTCAGCTTTATGATCAACTTCTTGGAACTAACCAAAATGACACAAAAGAGTTTGCAGACATTCAGACTTTTTAGAATTCTTCATCACGGCAGGAGGTTACTGAAATGCAGGGTAGAGGAAGAAGCAAAAGAGTCCTAAAATTAGACCAAATATTCCAGCCTTGAGGTTTGGAGTTGAAAGTTAAGTCTTGACATAAGGCTGGTAGACTGAACATATTTTTAGTGGTTAGTGACAGATTTCACTTAGCATTCAGGTAAAAGATTGATGCTTCTTGCTCAGGGCCATTAGAAAAAGTGGCTCATGAATAAAGTCATCAATTTGTGATGGAACACATGGCTTGCACACCCAGTATCTGCACCTAAACTCAAAACCTTGAAGAGTTGCTGTTGTGGGAATATAAATTACTGGATATGAGGGACTGACACATTACCCCACTACAAGGTAGCTTTATGCGCTCAGGTCCACTGAGAAAGTGTAGCTATCCCCACCTGCTAAAGAGAAGAACAAAGATTTGTAACACAAGATGGATATCATCATCATAGCTTTCTTTGCATGCTCCTGTTGTAGCTGCCTGACCACCAGTTCATTCTGCCAGGATGAGAAATGCTGGTTTAGGTCAAGACCTATAAACATGAACTAGGTAATAGAATAGTGAGCTGGGCTGAAAATTGATCTCGTCCTTCAAGATCAGACTAAAATGTTTTGGCTGGTACTGGAGGGAAAAATCCACATTGAATTCCTCCTTAGCAGTTAACTTGAGGCACAATGTAGAAAGTTCTGAACAAATCAATTGAAATTCAGCCATATGCTGTTATCTGGGTCCTTTTCAAGTACAGTGGAGCTTGTGGAAAAAGGTATTCCAGTGGATTGTTCACTCTGGACTTGCTCTGTCTACACTTGATTGTATTCAAAATCTGTAAGACCCTCTTTGCTTCTTGGTAAGCTGTTAGAGGTCCCACCTTGCAAAGTGCAATTGTTGCTTAATAGAAACTGCCTGAGAAATGCATCCTTTCATATGACTGTCTCTCTTTTGCTGCAGAAAAGTTGAAAGACTCTATCATCATCTTTATGATAGGAGGTCCTGGCTGTGGTAAGGGGGTGCAGAGTATCCGGCTATCTAGCAGATATGATTTTTACCATGTGGCTATTGGAGATCTGCTGCGGGAAGAAGCCAGCAGGAGTACTAGCAAGGGCAAGGTCATTAGGGACATCCTGCTGAAAGGGGCTCTGGTGCCCTCGGTAAGGCCCTATATCTATTCTGTGCAGAATCCATTTCCATTAAGAACATTTTAAAAACCTGGACAAGATGTAGGCTATGCTTTCTTCCTACTGAAAGGAATACAAATTAGTCATTACTAAATTAAGGGCTATTGATTCAGACCACTCTGTATGTTACATTTTAAATAATTAAGCTCAATACCTTCAAAGGAAGAAAAGGATTTGTGTAGAATAACAACAACAACAACAACATTTAACAACATCAAACAACATCTGCTCATCCCAGGTCCTTGGGAGGAACTCAAGAGGTAGATAAAAATGCCAAATCCAGTCTAAAGATCTGGCTGACTATATGATCAACAATAATAATACAAAATCACCATCGGTCAATTGCAAAAGGCAGCTTTACTTGGAACAGCTTATATCCTGCAAAGGTTTAACACCATCTTTAACACCATCAAACAACATCTGCCTATCCCAGGTCCTTGGGAAGGACTTGATAGGTGGATAAAAATGCCAAATCTGGTCTAAACATCTGGGCGGATGCGCGACAGCCCAAATAATTATAAAATGGTTGGCTCGCAAGCAGCCTGACGTGTTGAGAGGGATTGGCATCTTCTTCA